TCAGGCTCCTGAGATTTCAGTTAGCTAGGCCTGTCTGCCTCTCCCCGGGCCTGCTCCATTTGGGTGGAGAAAGTTTAACCCTGTACATCATACAAGTCTTTATTTTATTTTAGCTTTGCTTTTTTGGTCACTCCTGGCGATGCTCAGGGGTTCTGCCTGGCTCTGCACTCAGGAATCACTCCTAGTGGTGCTAAGGGGACCCTATGGGATGCCGGGGATCAAACCCAGGTCGGCCGGGTGCAAGGCAGACACCCTCCCCGCTGTACTATTGCTTTGACCCCATCATAGAACGCTCGGTTAAAGAATTGCCAAGGTACTTAGAAGGACCCACAAGTAGTAAATGACCTTTTATTCACCTTTTCAATAGTATTATTGGGTGCCAGGCACTTTCTAGGTGATAGGCGTGGACTTGGTCATTGGCTCTCTGATGGGCGCATAGGCTCAAAGTAAGATAATGTATCAGGGTGTCCAGGCAGAGATACCCTAGAAGGCAGTATGGAGTGCCTACAGGAAACAGCTGAAGAGGCAGCAGAAGGGCTCCATAGACAGCCCTGGGTACCATGTGCATGCCCTGAGGCCTGGATTCCGGCCCCAGCACCTCTGGGTATCTCAGCATCTCTGAGAGTCGGTTGCTGTCAAGGACCGAACCACCAAGCCCGGAGGAGAATATAGCCCATGGGCACAGTCTGGTATGCCTCAAAAGGACACGGAGCAGGAGCGCCTTTGAGACCGAGGCATCAGGTTTGCTGTCCCTGCTCCAGAAAAGGGCTGGGCTTGCCCCATAGGGTGATCTGTGAGGCGAGAATGTGAAGACGGGGAGAAAAAGCAGAAGTCAGAAGGGCTTGAATCAGACAGGGGCTGAGAGAGCCAGTGAGACTCCTCTGGCATTTCGTTTTTAGAGGAAAAAGTCTCTAAGGTGTAATTCCTAGCCCCACAAAATTCTGTCTTTGAAAGTGTTGGGAGGATCCGCTCTGGATGGGAGATGCATGCTGAAAGTAGACTAGAGACCGAAGATGATGGCCACTCAGTGTCTCTTTTGCAAACCACAGCACCCAAAAGGAGAGAGAGAGAGCAAAAGGGGATGCCCTGCCACAGAGGAAGGGTGGGATGGGGGGACGGGGGATGGGAGGGATGCCGGGGCCCATGGTGGTGGAGGATGGGCACTGGTGGAGGGATGGGTACTCGATCATTGTATAACTGAAACCCAAGCACACAAATTTGTAAGTCTACAACTGTACTTCATGGTGTTTCACTAATAAATTTTTTTTTTAAGTGTGTGATTGGGGCTGGAGTGATAGCACAGCGGGTAGGGCATTTGCCTTGCACACGACCGACCCGGGTTCAATTCCCAGCATCCATATGGTCCCCCGAGCACCGCCAGGAGTAGTTCCCGAGTGCAGAGCCAGGAGGAACCCCTGTGCATTGCCGGGTGTGACCCAAAAAGAAAGAAAAAAAAAGTCTATACAATTCAAGGGGCATAGAGATAAAGCATGAGTTTAGACCTTGTTTAAAGCCAACTGCAGCCTGATTCCTGGCACTGCATATGGTCCCTGAGCACTGCCAGCTGTCACCCTGAGCACAGAGCTGGGAGTAGGTGCAAAGCTCAGGTAGGTGTGCCCCAAGACACAAAAATCAATGCAGTGAGGGGCACGCATTAGGTGCCGCTAATCTAGGTTGGAGTTCTGGCGCCCCATGGTCTCCTGAGCACGCCAGGAGTGATCTCTGAGCTCAGCTGGGAGTGGCACTGAGCACTACTGGGTGTGGCCAAAACCCCAAAAAAATGTATACAGTGAAATACAGTCACATACACAAATCCGGGTTCAAGTTCTGCATCCCTGTAGGCTCGGGTATTTCGCCTTTTTTTTACTGTTCGGATCACTGTAGGTCTGTAGTAGTCTTAGAGTTGAGAAGTGTGACTCTAATTTTTTAATATTCAATCAAGATTAGTGTAGCTATTTAGTTTCTCATGCAATTTCACTGCATGTTACTACCATCAGCTTACCTACCTCTCAAAATAAGAAAGTGGGAATCGAGTAGGTTTTACATAGATTCCATGGCTTAATTTGGGGTCTGTTGCAACCTTAAAAGTACTGCATCTAGCCAGAGAGATAGTACCTTGCAGGCAGCTGACCCAGGCTCGACTCCTGCTCCCCATAAGGTCCCCAATCCCCTCCAGGAGTGATCTCTGAGCAAAGAACCAGGAATAATCCCTGAACACTGCTGGGCGGACCCAAATCATAAAAAAAATGTTGCATCTGCAGTCTACAAACACAGGATGTTTTATTAATTTGGCTCTCCTTTAATTTCTTTTAGCAGTGCTTGTTAGCTTGTATTGTACAGGTCTTATACTCCTTTGATTACATTCTATTGTAATGCAGTAATTTTCTTTCATATTTCAGTGTTAGCATATCATAATTGTTACTATAAAGAAACATTACTGATTTTTGGTGGAAAATGCGGGCAGGGACATACAATTGATTTTATATGTCTATCAGTTATCCTAAGACTTTGCTGCTGATGGCTTTTGTTTTTCATAGTTTTTTTAATATGAAAAGGTTTTTCTCTGTATAAAATCATGGTATTATGTTCTTCTCCTTTCTGAAGACCCCTGACAGTGGGATGGTCCAGATCACCTCGTCATATATGTGACACAGGAGATTATGAACCTTAGGGTCTTGAGCTGGTCCTGGTTGTTTCCTAAGCTGTGAAGCCCTCTTCTGGGCCCTTTTTTGCTTGGAATCACTAATGGTAGAGCCATCAGGATAACCGCAGCATACGTAGGCAGCTCTGGGGTTTGAACTCACAGCCTTGCACTTGCCAAGCAAGTGCTTTAGGCCATTGATCCATCTTCCAGTTTCTTCATCTTTTTAGAGATTTACGCCCCTTCCCCCAAACTATATGTGTGTGTACACATACACACATATGTGTGTGTGTGTGTGTATATATATACATATATATGTGTATATATATATATATACACACACACATATAGGTGTGTGTTGACCGCATGCAAGGAAAATGCCCTACCTGCTGTGCTATGGGTTGGGGCAATAGCACAGCGGTAGGGCATCTGCCTTGCATGCAGCCGGCTCAGCTAAGCTGGGTTCGATCCCTCCGCCCCACTCGGAGGGTCCGGCAAGCTACCGAGAGTATCTTGCTCACACGGCAAAGCCTGGTAAGCTACCCATGACATATTCAATATGCCAAACATAGGAACAGTAAGTGTCACGATGGAGATGTTACTGGGCCCGCTCGAGCAAATCGATGAACAACGGGAGCACAGTGCTACAGTGCTGTATGTGTGTGTATATATAAAACACACACATATAGAAAGGCGCATATATATATATATATTTCTTATTAACTTCTCTGCCTGGATTCACTAGACAATTGACTAGGAGTGATGGAATGCACATCCTTATCATTGCTGGCCTTCAGAGAAAAGCTTCCAGTGGCTTTCCATAAATAAAAATATATGCTTAGAGCTTAGAATATCATGTTAGCTATGAACTTTTCATAGATACTCTTGATTAGGTTAAAGAAATTTCCTTCTCTTCCTAGTTTCTTGAGTGATTTTTTTAATATTTTGCTTTTATTTGGGGACCTTGCAGTGCCCAGAAGCTATTCCTACCTCTGTGCTCAGGAGTGATCCCTGGTAGTGCCAAGGATCAAACTGGGATCAGTGGAATGTGAGGCAAGCACCTTACCCCTGAACTACCTTTCCAGTCTTTCAGTAGTTGTTTTAGAATCAGAAATATTGTTGGGCTTTGTCACAGGCTATGTCTCACGTACCGAGACGATAGTTGGTTTCTTTTCCTTCAGCCCACTAATATAGGGTCTAATCGGCTTTACCTATCTTGATGTATTCTTGCATTCATATATTAAATCCAGCTTGCTTTTGGTGTCTAACCCTAATATCCTGCTAGGTTTTAGTGACTGGTATTTTGCTGAGAAGTTTTCCATGTAAGTTATAAAGGTAAGGGGTCTGTAAGTACCTCGCAGGTTTGTCTGGTAGTAGGATACCAGTTGTGTCAAAGAATGAGAACCATGGAGAATGTATGATTGAAGGATAGTATTGAAATCTCAAACTGCGTTGAATTCTTTCTCATTTCCCTCAGCTTCGTCATTTATCTTCGTTGAATGCGATTGTGTATCCGCTGATCTTTCGTTGACCTGAAGTCCCTCTTTCACCCTCGCTGCAGCCTTTGCCTCTGTCTCTGATTCACTGTTACCGCTCCTACCATCCATGACTGCTGTTTGCATAACGTACTTGTATCCGTGCTTGGGCTCTGAACCCATATTTTTTGCCATTTGTTTTCTGATTCTTGGCCATTGCTCAGTGGTCGCTGTATATAATAAAGCAAAACCTGTTTCCTTGCTGCCTTTCTATTGTGTTTTCTTTCTTTAGAAAATGGTATTTGCATTTGCAAGGGAAGAAGCTCTTGGAAAGACTAGGCATGCCGCCCCATGCCATCACTGTGAAAGATGCGCATCTTTCTAGAGGCATCAGGTTGAACCAAAAGACTTTTAATGCACAAGCATGGCCACAAAATAGCGTGCATTTTGTGTGGCAGTCACTTTCAGTTTGTAAGAAGCTGCCGTCCTGTGGGGTCCATCCTGTGGGGTCCATCATCACACACATCTCTTGGCACCATTATCTCTGGTTATCGCTACAGGGATACAGTGACAGGAACTGACACTTGGTATAAGTCAAGGCCTGATACTCCCTGCACCATGTGATCATCTCCCAGAGGTCTGAGCTCGAGTCCTGCTCCCTGGAACCCCCAGGTCCCCTGCAGTACCACAGCTCTCTCATCATCACCGTTGTCTAAGGAAAACCAAGTAGGACCCATTTCATTCAAACTTAAATCTCTTTGTCAGCCACCAAGAGACACTGGGAAGCTTAACAGGTCGCCTAAGGCAAGGCCTGAGCCAGGAAGTGGCCGCTGATTTCGTGACTGAATATGCCTCCCTCACTGTCTGCCCTTTTCCTCTTTCAGAAAGACGAGACCTTTTTGGAACCACAACTCGGAGACCAGCCGCAACCAGAGCTCCGGCAAAGCCTGCGGGTAATGGAGGGTGACAGGGGACTCGCTCTGGACAGTGTCTTCCTGAGAAACACCCAGAATTCCAAGCCCGCGACCTTCATCTAAACGCTGGCTTTGCTTAATGGATTTGAGAGGCTTGATCGTTATACTTTCTGTAGTTTTATGGGGGGGGTCCCTTGAGCACTCCCAAGAAGTGCTCAAGGGACCCCAGGGGTTACTCTGGTGATTCTCAGTCAACTAGAGCAGATGACTCAATGCTCAGTCCCTGAAGTGGCAGGGACCACCAAGACCATAGCCACTGGGAATGAGGACCCCCCCGGACTAGAACTTCCATGTTTTGGGGTGTATGCAGTGCCGGCAGTTGAATTGGGGCTGGAATCATGCAAACCATATGTCCTTAACTCCTGAGCTAGCAATCTCCCTGGCCTATCCTCTTGTGGATTTTTTTGTGTGTGCTATAGTTGTGGGGGTGACGCCTGGCAGTGCTTGGTGGGGGGGGGGGAGGTCCACACAGTGCCAGGTATTGAACCCAGAGCCTTGCACATTAAAAGCGGTTATGCTACTACCACTGCCATAGCTTTAGCCCTTATGACTTCTGTGTGTGTGTTTTTTTTAAGTTCTGCTTGGGAAAAATTGAAAAACATACCTTAATGAGACCCCCTCCCCTCTTCAACCCTTTTACATTTTAAATTCAGGAAGACGTAGATGTTGTAAGTTATTTTTTTGCTATTTTTTTGCTTATTGGGTCAGCCCTGGCGATCCTTAGGGGTTACTCCTGGCTCTGCACTTAGGAATTACTCCTGGCGGTGCTCAGGATACCATATGGGATGCTGGGAATCGAACCTGGGTCAGCCATGTGCAAGGCAGACTCCCTACCCACTGTGCTATCGTTCCAGCACTAGATGTTTAAGTTTTCTGGAGCCCAGCAAACCTTTCCTTTGGGGAGCTCTGAAGAAGAGCGTTTAGCTTCCTGTGGCGTCTTTGAGCAAAGAGTTTTGGAACTTTTTGTTTCTTTGTGACGCTTCTTACAGTCCTTTTAACCTCTCTACAGCAGCACCCATCATCATTCAGGCATTTTCAATGATGTAAAGAAATGGCCAGCGGCTGGAGCGATAGTACAGTGGGTAGGGCATTTACCTTGCACGTGGCCAACCTGGGTTCTGTCCCCAGCATCCCATCCCATATGGTCCCCTGAGCACCGCCAGGAGTAATTCCTGAATGCATGAGCCAGGAGTAACTCCTGTGTATTGCCAGGTGTGACCCTAAAAGCAAAAAAAAAAAAAAAAGGAAAGAAAGAAATGGCCAGCCTTTGGGTGGTAGACCCCCTGACTGGACAGGATGTGCTCCCTGTGTTTGCTGGGTTTGGGTCTTGGGATAGTATCTCAAGTCACGAGCATAGTATTGAAATGGTCTGATTGCCCGCCCAAGTAAAGGAGACCTAGGAATCTAAGTAAGTTGAAAACCCAGTGACATGCCGCGAAGGCAGAAGACAGCGACTCCTCCATTATCTTGGTTTCAAGAAGTCGGGGCCCAGTTTGTGTCTTTGTCTTAAAAGAGATACTGTGTGCATTTGTGAGTGTGGGCTTTGGTGGGGGAATCTTCTCTCAGCTGTTCACCGGTTGGTGGTTTTCCTTATGTTTCGGGCTCCTTGCAGGTTTAGATTTCGATTTGGCTGATGCCTTGGATGATACCAGTGATAACCAGAAGAAGCCAAGCATGGGGGCAGGAGGAGGAGGTAAGTCCCTGCTGCTTGGAGGCGTTGGAACTCCCTGCTTTTTTGTGTCACATCCACTTCTAAAAAGCATCCACACTTCTAAAAAGCATCCCCATCCACCCGTCCACTTCTAAAAAGCACGGGAGAAACCCCAGAGTCGTGGTTCTCCAGCTTTTTGATCTCAAGACTCCCCGGATCGAGCATCTCAAAGCTTTTGTTTTCGGTGGGTGGGTCATACCTGTCAATATTTGTCATCTTTGTACCAAAACTGAAGAACATCTTAGCCATTTATTAATTTAAAATAGGATAGTAATAAACCCATAGATGTGAACCTCTTTAGGATCTTTAGGAGAAAAAACATTTGTCAAGATTAAAACCAATATTAAGTGAGAAGATTTTTGCGGTGCGTGTTTTCAAATTTCTGTAGCGGCTATCTTGATGGACAGGCCTGACAGCCTGATTCACATGTCCTGAGGTTCTTATTTTTTGGGGGAGTCACACCCAGTAATTCACGGGGGTTCCTCCTGGCTCTGCACTCAGGAATTACTCCTGGCGGAGCTCAGGAGACCATATGGGATGCTGGGAATCGAACCCGGGTCAACCGCGTGCAAGGCAAGTGCCCTATCCGCTGTGCTATTGCTCCAGCCCTGTGAAGTTCTTTTCTTGTGGTATGTTGAAGGACATCTGTCCTCACGCAGGTGTGTAGTTGGAAAATGTGGGGGTGTCGTATAGACTATTGAGAGCTTTCTTTGATAACACACCGGGAAACGACTACTCGCTGTTTCTTCCGGCTTATGCTCCGAGAAGATCGGAAAAGCCCGTGTGCCCATGCTTAGCACTGCTGAAGCCTCTTTGGGCCCTCTTGCCCTTTAAGGGACCTTTTACCCATTCGAGGGTTGGTACCGACACACGTTGGTCACATAGGAAACATTGCATCCCTGCGGTCCTGTCCTCTTCCGAATAACGCCGTGCTTCATCAGGCAGTTCCCACTCCCTTGAACGTGTCTAGAGATCCATAATGCCGCGGCTCCTGATCTTGCTGAGAGAAGCGCTAAGGTGGGAGGGAAACAGGAGGCAGAGCATCCGGACGGTCGCTGTGAACCTGGCAATGCAGTTGATTTCTTTTGCAATAAGATTCAGAGCTGAGGCAAATATGCGGGAAAGGGGATTGGAGGCTTGAGATGATTCCCTGTCAGGTGAGGTTCCTCGGCCTTCCTCCCGTGGCCCCAGGCTCTAGAAATGATGTAAATAAAAGGAGCTGCTGGGGGGTCCGTGAGATAATGGGGAAGGGTGTGGTGCAGTAGCTACAGAAATACAAAACAGTGTCAGTAACATTGCAAACTGCTCCAGCCCCGATGCAGTTAAATAATACCACACAAGGACTGCCTGCAAGAGAGTCAGATTCCCGCCCTGGGGATCCCCACGGGCAGGGAGGGGGGCGGCAGGCAGGGTGATTTTGGTTTCTGAGAATGTGTTCAGTGGTGCCAAGCTAGGGGGGCTCACAGTAGTGGGTATGAGTTTTCAAAATTCTCATTTCAGCCTCCCAGCTTATCACTGGCCAAGCCGCTGGCCGGTGGTCGTTTATGAAGTGGTAGTCCCGTTTCGTTCTGTCTGGGGGTACAGTTGTTAAGTGGGCTACACCCCGTTGGTGGTAGCCTTTAAGTCAGAGCCCCCAGCCCTGGATTTTTCCTGTTGCTAGTGGCCTTTCTGCGGCCAGCAGGAAGAGCAGCTGGACCATTTCCACGCTAGCCTCTCAGCACTAGCCCCGTGAGCATGCGCACGAGGAAAGGAGGGGCTGGAGGCGAGTTGTCATAGTTGCACCCTTGCCCTGCTTCCTGGCCTCATTTCCACCGCTGCAGAGCCGCTGAGCACCCAGGCAGGGAGTGGAGGCCGTTTCCTTTCCTTCGCTCCCCTCTCTCTGGGTGACAAGGTCTGGGAGCGTTCAGGTCTTGGGGGCGCCTGAGATCAGGTCTTCCTCTCTCCAGCTGTGGGGTGTTGGGGGACTGCCCGTCCCTGCAGCTGCAGGGCTGCAGGGCTGCTTCAAGACCAAGAGCCAAGAGCCCCGAGGGCAGGGCACGGAGCCTCCAGCATGTGGGCTGCAGGCAGGCCTCAACTGTTCAAAGGTCTGCCCCGACCCAACCGGGCCTGCCACGACGAGCTTGATTTTGGTTCGTGCAAAGTCGAAGTCCGTTGCTCGATTCCAGTGTCTCACTGGGGTGATGCCTCCTCTGCATGGCGCCCCTGCTGTTGAATGACTGCTGTCTCACAGGTCCTGGGAGGGCCTTGAGGGGGCTGTTTGGCTCATTCTCATCGGGCCAGCTTATTTTGTGGGGGTGGAGTCGGGCAGCATTCACACCAGTTTATTGCCGTGGGAAAGGGTTTGGGCACTGACGGACACGTTTGGTTTCCTGCAGGATTTTCAGACAAGGATCTTGAGGACATTCTGGGCGATAACTACAAGCCGGACAAGGGTAAAGGTAAGAGCACTGTGGGGGGGGGCGAGGAGCCTGGCTGGCAGCGCCCCTCAGACATGGCCTCTTCCCCGGCCACCCTATATGCATGTTGGGGTTCCCTCTAGAATGAAAGCAGCCGCGTCACCCAAGGCAGTGTTCAGAAGGTCATTTGGAAATACCGCTGCCCTTTCCCTGGTGTCCCTTGTCCTGCTTGGGGTCTCGGGGCCCAGCCTAGCAGAAGCTGGGACAGCGACTGCGACACAGGATCCGTTGGAAACTGCTTCCCCCTCCCCCCAGGCAACGCGCTGTGCCGAGCTGTGGGAGAGATTCGGAGCAGAGCCAGGCTGCCGTTTCCTTGGGATCCTTTGCAGTAGTCTAAGACTTCCAAGTTGTAAAAGTAGTTCAGAACAATCCGCGTGTGCGCGGTCACCTGCCATCCCGGGTGATGGGACCTTACCTTGCACGGCAACGGAAGTCCGCGAGACAAACCCGTGCGTGCGTGTGCGCCGGGCTGTTTGCATCTGGGAAACGCGAGGCAGGCATCTAAGCAGGCAGACGCAGTGGGGACACAGGCGGCACCTCGGGAAGGGAACACCTTCAGATCACACCTCCATGCCTGCACCCCCTCGTCACCAAGGCCGGGTCATTGCCCTTCCCCCTGCACTTCCAGAGACGGAAAGCTATTGTGACAATAGGTGTGTCGGTAACTGATGCTGTGTGGAGACGGTCCTAGCCAGGCGTGCTGTAACTTGTAGTTTGCGCTCAGGATCGCTGTTGGGGGTTGTAATCCGGCCGCTGGCAGTGTGTTTCCACGGCAGATCACAGGCCGGCGTGGTTCTGAGCAGAGCGAGTGCTGCGCGTTTCCCGGTGTAACCCCGACACTTTCCCGGACTCGCAGCCGTGGCATTTGCGCCTTCCTCGCCGTAACTGTGCGCCCCTCAGGTGGGACCAGTGTTCTCTCCTGCTTAAAGGATACTGTAGTCCAACCTGTCCTTCAGAACACCTTTCTAGACAGTATCATCCCGAGGAAAAAAAACTCTAAAAGCCTCTAAATGAAACTCACAGGTGTCAGGAGAACATGGAACATTTAAAGGGCAAACCCAGCAAATGAGCCAATTACTCCTGGGTGACAAATGGTATTTCCAGATGGTGAGATGAGGCAGAAGTAGCGCATAAGCACGCAAATGAAAATCTGAATGACATGTCCGGGGAGGGGGAGGGGGGCGCTTCCTTATTAAAAGTCCGTGTTTTTGCAAGGAGGAAGTGTTAGGAAATTCTTTAATTAGGCTCATATTTGAACTTCTCTTGTAAAGGATAATCAATTGTTAGCTTTGGTTATATCCGCCGTCATTAAAGGTGTCAGTGGAGGAAGATAAAGGAAATCCAGCGGAACCAGTGCAAGCGCTAAGCGGACGCCGCTTCTGAGAGGCGCACAGTGGGATTCTCAGAGGCTCTGCGTGCGTCACACAGGCTCACCCCACTCGCAGAGGTAACAGCCACTTCACTAAGTGATGGTCCTCAGCACAGAACCGCTCCTAATGACGGCGTTCTGCAGCCGGGTTCGTACACCCAGGGACTCATTTCCGAACTCTGCTATCTGCGTTACGTGTTTATTTCTTCTCCAGAAAACGTCTCTGCTGGCTAGGAGCTGTAGATGATGGTGACACGTCTCTGGCGAAGAGAGCCCCTTCCTGCCACCAGGCCCTCTGCCCTCTTCCCTTCCCTGTCTCTTTCTTTTTTTTTTTCTTTTTGGGTCACACCCGGCGATGCTCAGGGTTTCCTTCCGGCTCTGCACTCTGGAATCACTCCCGGTGGTGCTCGGGGGACCATATGGGATGCTGGGAATCGAACCCGGGTTCGCCGCATGCCAGGCAAACACCCTCCTTGCTGTGCTGTCGCTCCAGCCCCTTCCCTGACTCTTGAATTCAGTGAGATCTTCGGGCCAGTGAGGGTGTCTGCTCTGTCGTCTGTACCCACGGCTGCTTCCCCTCCCGGCTGCCCTGGACTTGCTCTTTGGTCCTCTGTGACTCCCCTGCTCAGCCTCTTCCAGGGCTTTCCAGACACTCCCCCTCGCGCTACAGTCTTACTCACTGCAGGCTGGATGCTAGGAAGGTACTCACCTTGCATGCAGCTGACCCAGGGCTGATCTCTGGCACCGCCTACCCTCTTCTGAGCCCCCTCTGGAGTGATCCCTGAGCACAGAGCCAGGAGTCAGCCCTGAGGACACTTTGGTGTGGCCCGTCCTTCCCCAACACACAAATCAGCCTTTTCCGGATGTGCCCCGGAACACAGAAGTGACCTCTTAGCCCTTGTGACTTCCGAACACGGAGGGAAATCCTCGACTCCCGTCCTTGCTTCTGGGGGAAGAAAGGCTCAGGAGGGAAAGGGCAGGGACAGAGAGGCCCTGCGTGTCTTAGGGGGACACTTCAAGCCTCCGGAGATCCCAGCACCTCACTCCCAGCCCTGCAGACTTCCCGTTGGAAATGCAAAGGGGAAGGTGATTTCCTGGTTTCCATTGACATTCAGCAGCTAAGGCCCGCTGCGGGGTGAAAAGCCTGAAGCGTTTTCCAGCTGCCACCGCAGGGCACGCCAGCTTTCCCTGCTTGTTTGGTCTTGACATTAGCTAGCGACCTGGTTCGTCTCCCCAGCCCACCCAGCCTTTAGAATGAAGCATTGGAGGAGCTCAAGGATGATCAACGGGAAACGGGGCAGGGCCGGAGAGCGAGCACAGGGGTTAGCGCTCTTGCCCTGCACACAGCCCACCAGGCCAGGGCATAGCGGGCCCCTGAGCAATTCAGGAGTAAGCCCTGAGCACCTCCTGGTGTGCCCAACCCGGCCCTCAGTCCGACTCCTTTTCCCCCCAGTGCTGTTGCTTGCTGGTCTGATTTCTTGGGTGTGGGATTCAATATGTCCTTCTCCTCACAATGGAAGAAAAGAGTGTCAGACATCAAGAAGGGTCCAGAGGGGCTGGAGAGATAGCACAGCGGGTAGGGCGTTTGCCTTGCACGCGACCGACCCGGGTTCGATTCCCAGCATCCCATATGGTCCGCTGAGCCCCGCCAGGAGTAACTCCTGAGTGCAGAGCCAGGAGTAACCCCTGAGCATTGCCGGGTGTGACCCAAAAAGCAAAAAAAAAAAAAAGGGTCCGGAGTTCAGGAGAGCTAAACACAGCACTTTAAAACTGCTTTTATATAACTTAGGTAATATGGTTACAGGAGTATTCTAATCAGTAGTACGAAGTGACGCTCCCCACGGCCACCACAGTGCCCAAGGCCCCTCATCACCCTCCTCTGGTCTGATCTTTGTCCCCCCCCCCGTTTGTTAATTGATTTTCTAATACGAGGCCAGCGGGGTGCCATTACCCACTGTACTGTGCTCCTGTGTGTTGTCTCTCTGTGTTCCACAGTCCACGCATTTGTTCTTCTCCACCTGACATTTCTCTTAACACGACACCCTCCGTTTGCAGCCACATTGCAGTGAACCGCAGGATTCCATCATTCCTTATAGCTGCGTACTATTCCATTCTACTATACCACGGCTTCTTGATCATCTACTGTCGGACCTTGGGGTTGTTTTCCAATCCTGCCTCTCTTGCCAAGTGCTGAAATGAACATAAGGTGCGCGTAAGTGGTCTTGAACGACTGTTTGGAGGGTCGAGCCCAAGAAGTGGAATCACTGTGTCGGATGAATGCTCTCCTCTTAGTCTCTTGAAAAGTCTCCCTAGTGTTTTCCGTAGAGGCTGAACCAGAGGACTTTCCTGACACAGTTCCTTGTGTTTACCACATCCCTGCCAATACTGGTTATTTGCAGCTGTTCGGCATACCCATTCCCACAGGTGTGAGACGATCGCTCATTGTTGTGTTGATCTTGCATTTCTCGGGTAATATGTGATACTGAGCACCTTTCCATCTGCTTTCTGGCTATCTCTGTATCTTCTGCCGGGGGTGTTTGCTCATATCCTTCCTCTGTGTTTGGATTGGATTGTTTTGTTGCTGAGGTTTTTCGTTTATGTCTCCGATTCCTTCTTTGTTTCTTTTTGGGGGGCCGCATCTGACTGTGCTCAGGCTGACTCCCGACTCTGCACTCAGGGATCACTCCGGGTAGTGCTTGTGGGACCATACGGCATGCTGGGGATTGAACCGGGGTCAGCTGCGTGCAAGACAACCCCCCTACCCACTGCATCATTCTGTGCTGGTTTAATTCTTTCTAACTAAATCTTAACACGTGTTCATACGTATGTCTTTAGTTCTAATCCAGTGCCAAATGGTCTGTTTTTTCTGGCTTAGGGAGCGCACATGGCAGTGCTCAGGGCTTACTTCTTGCTCTGTACTTAGGAATTACTCCTACCAGTGCTCAGGGGGCCATATGGGGTACCAGGGATCGAAACCAGACTGGCCACATGCAAGGCAAGTGCCCTCTCCACTGCTTTTGCTTCAGCCCCTAAACGGGCTGTTGGACTCTTCTTTCTTGCTTCTGTCACTTCCCTCCCTGCAGGAAGAAACCAACCCTCCATCAGTCACTGACTTGCTCAGTCCACATGCGCTGGCTGAATTGTGACCCCTTATCCCCACAAGACACCCTGACTAGAGTCCAGCGGCCTTGGAGACCTTCTTGTGGGTTTGCCTTGAAGTTTGCAGTTCCAACACCATTTGCAAACTTGCTTGATTGAGCTTCCTTCTCTTGCCTCCTCCGTCCTGGGGAGATCCATGTGATCCGAACATGGTGGCATTGGTTGGTCCCCATCTTCACTTCCGCCCTGGGACCACCTGGTCGGTCTTTGATTCTTTGCTTGTCTACGCTGCTTTTTCCCTTCGGTGAGACACTGTGAGGCTTCCTGAAGCAGATCACGTGGTCGCCCTCCGGGAGCAGTCCAGGGATGGAACAGTGCTGGCCACCAGAAGGTCATGTATGCAGTTCCCGGGTGCTCAGTCCCTCCCTCCTTCTCACTCCTGCTTTTCAGTGCTGCAGCCCTTGCTCATCTGTTGACTTCCTCTACCTTGACTTTTTCTGAAAGGCTTTGGATT